CTACCCCGTCAGGGATTGTGCGTGAAGATAAGTAAGTATTATTAAGGATAACTCAAAAACTACTGGTCAGATCTATATAAATCATAAATTCTAAATCTATATAATTTAAGGGACCATGAGAGGCACCAGCTTTCAAATAAAAATAATCATCAAAATCGGTTCACCTAGAAAAAAGTTCTGAGGTAATTGTATTGAGAACCTCCTCCTTTTTTAAAAGTTTGTTAAAAATACATAGAAACATTAAACACTCTATGAAATATTAACTGTCTGGCAGAGGACGAGCGAAACAATATCATAATATTTCACGGAGACGGTATAACATATATGCTGATAGATAAAAGTACTACATTAATTTTGCCAATTTTTTTAGCTAAAATGATTAAACTACCAACCTACCTTGAACTGCCAATAACTGACTAACCTACTACATCTGTTAACTATATGAGATTAAATCAGCCCTCTTATCTATTATTTATTATTTGAAGTTTTCTTAAATAATATCTAAGCCATGGGCTTCTACATTCACCTCATCATCATAGCAGGATTGGCCAACCCCATAAATTAGGGCTGTTTCCACAGCTTTTTTGCCGCCAGGGCGGCGTGATTTAGGAATGAGGTGCTGGTGAAATATTTGACAGATCACATAGCAGGTAAGTTAATTTGTTAGAAAAATGTAGGGGCAATATTAGTTATATTTTGTGTTAGAAATGAATTTTTATTTTATTTATTTATAAGGTACACCAACTGCAAAACACATAAAACATTAACAACACAATAACTCTAAAGTATATGGTTAAATATGTTTACCACTTACAGATATACACAACATTTACCGTAATGTGTAGCTTATTACAGCTAATTTACATTAAAAAAAGACTAAGGAATGAGTGTGCTGAAAGAGTGAAAATAAATTGATAATTTTTTTAAGCATTTCACAGAGTTGTTGAATATGTCAATGTCCGGTACCTTGGTCATAATTTCATTGTATGTGTTACATATTCTGGCTAAGGGATAATGTGCGCCTAAATTTGTTTTGTAGGTAGGTATGCTAAATAGTTTGCGAAATCGGGGATATCTGTACGGGATAATTAAGTTGTCAGCGGACCTTCTTTTTTAATTAAATAACAGCTTACAATCGTATGTTACACAATTAACAACACAATACGAATTAGAAATAGCTTGGTAGCGATCACCTCATTCTCAGGGGTTATTATCATCCATCCATCCAGTGTTGCCAATCTGCTGTTTCAGTTTCCCTATATCGTGTGCGTGTGAAAATATTTCCTTTATGCCGAAACGCGCCACACACTTCGTTCACACCCAAAGACCCAAGGTTTTCCAGACGGTAAATAAATGAACCGGTATTATCACATCAGTGACTTTTCGCTTAATAATTTTTTTTTAAATATATATTTTATTATTTTACCCTTCTGAGTGGACTAAGGAATATCACCAGTTTAAGATAACAACTGGAATGCCGTCTAAATAGATGTAAAACAACTTCACCCTTAAGTTACAATTCCGGAGCCGACCGCAGACAGCAGCAGTAGGCGACGTGTCGTCGCGACACTTACTGGTTTCTATGAGATTCCGTAGCTAGCGGCACGTCGTTTGCCGCTAGGGGCAGAGCGGCAGATGACACTGTCGCTCACCGCAGATCAATAGTGCGCCAACGCCCGAGCGACACGTTGAATTTTTCTTAAAAAAAATGAGTTTCACCGATTCCGTGGAAGAGAAACTGATAATCCAGTTGGCCCAATATCTCTCACTGTACGATGCATCTCACAATAATTATTTAAACAGTGTGACAAAACAAAAGAAGAAATATTTAAAAAAATATAGGAAAGGAGTTAAATAAAAGCGGTAAAAAGGTACACACACACACACACACACATATATATATATATATATATGTATATATATATATGTATATATATATATATGTATATATATATATATATATATGTATATATATATATATGTATATATATATATATATATATTAGTTTACATAAATAGAGTACCCACAGAACATTCGGAACAGATTGAAACACGGGCTGCTGCCGCCTGCAGTCGGTTTGAAATTTATATATATTATATCTATATATTATTTTAAAAAAACGCATCAAATATAGAACATTGTCGTTTCAAGGACTCTGTGATACGAGGGCTGCACTAAAAGTATCGGGAATGGAATATTTCCACTGTTCCTGTCATATTAAAATCTTTTTAATTGAAAAGTCCTTGGTTTTAAAAATCGAATACCATTTATGTATTTAAAAAAAGATTCTCGGTCTTGTCACAAGGTTTTGTCGAACTTGTTTAGAAATCGAATACCATTTATTTATTTAAAAAAAGATTCTCGGTCTTGCCACAAGGTCAAACTTGTTTACTCGTTGAGAAAATGGATTTGACTCGAGAAAATTCAAGAGCGATGATTTATTATGACTTTCGAAGTGGTTTAACACAAAAACAGTGTGTTGACCGGATGATTTCTGCATTTGGTGATGAAGCCCCATCCAAAACCACAATTTATCGCTGGTTTGCTGAATTTCAACGTGGACGTGTCAAGCTCAGTGATGATCCCCGTCAAGGTCGTCCAAAAACTGCAGTCACCCAAGAAAACGTTGATGCTATGCGTAAGCTGATTGAGGAAGATCGACATGTGACATACCGCGAAATTCAGGCAACTTTAGACTTTGGCGTGAGTCAAATACAAATAATCTTGCATGAACAATTAGGTGTAAAAAAGTTGTTTTCCCGATGGATACCGCATTCACTCTGTGAAGAGCAAAAAGCGGCTCGCGTTACTTGGTGCGTCAGAACTCGAAAGATTCCACGCAGGATCCTCAAATGCTGTATACAACATCGTATCAGGTGACGAATCCTGGATATACGCGTACGAACCCGAAACAAAAACCAGTCACTCCGTGAACGAACAAAAATTATTTGTTCACGGAGTGTTGCAAAAAAAATGGTGGCCACGTTTGTCTCCAAAACCGGACATGTTTCGACTATTCCTCTTGAGGGACAAAGAACGGTTAATGCAGAATGGTATGCTAGCATTTGTTTGCCACAGGTCGTTTCTGAACTCCGTAAAGAGAACTGCAACCGCCGCATCATCCTCCATCACGACAATGCGCGTTCTCACACCGCACACAGAACAAAAAGAGTTTTTAGAGCAAGAAAACATAGAATTATTAGACCATCTGCCGTACAGCCCCGACCTAAGCCCTAATGATTTCTATACTTTCCCTAAAATAAAGAATAAATTGCGTGGACAGAGATTTTCATCACCTGAAGAAGCTGTGGACGCCTACAAAACGGCCATTTTGGAGACCCCAACTTCCGAATGGAATGGTTGCTTCAATGATTGCTTCCATCGTATGGAAAAATGTTTCAAATTTCGCGGAGAATACTTCTAAAAGCAATAAATACATTTTTAAATAGTAATGTTGTGTCACTTCCTTGATTCCCGAAATTTTCAGTGCCGCCCTCGTAATGACATCAACGAAATTGGATATCCGACATAATATTCTCTTTTTCTGTTATATTTTTATATCATGTACAAACCCACATATATCAAGAAGGAAAAAGAAGATTAACAAAATATGTAGTAGAAAAGAATAATTTCGTATAGGATATAATGAAATAAATCCCCCATATGAGACCAATCTATGGGGGCGACCTATGTTCAGTAATGGCCGGGTTATGTATAGATACCTATGTTCAGAAATAGGCATCTGGTATCGCAGATTTTTTTAATAGAATGTGGGTAACAAACGAGCACGACAAACCCAGCGGGACTTTCTTTTAATACAAAGTTTTGTCGATTCGGGAGGAACGGACTGATGGAAGGCGTGGTTTCAGGTGTTGGAGGCGTGGGACTTGCCGCGCGGCGTATGCTCCAATTGCACAAAAATGGCCATTGCCGCGATACATTTCCGAACGATCTGCCTGGAGTCGGCCAAGCAGTGGTCACACGTCACCACCTGTCTCTCCCAAATCGATACGCCGACCGCAGAAGATAAGACATACTTCATTTTCTATAATAAAAAAGACTTCTCACCTATATTAAAAGTGCAGAGAGAAGTGAGAACTGTTTCCCAAGCGGTCAGCAAACTGAATCAAAAACCTCAACAGCCAAATAGAGAAAAAAAGAGAACTATAAGGAAATTTAAGAGTAAAAGCAATGGACCGAGATGGGAATGCAAGGATTGCGGTAAGGAGTTCACTTTACCAAGTTATTTGAACCAACATTTGAGGATGACTATGAAACGGGCTTGTACACACTGTGGAAAAATTGTCGGTAGGGAGAAACTGCACCAACATTTGGCGAACGCTCACAACATACATCTATATCACTGCAAGAGTTGTCACCGACTTTTTCAAGAGGAACACGAATTGGAACAGCACATCCAAACAGCTCATAGTGTACTTTCATACGTATGTCACGTCTGTAACAATGGTTTTATAAATGATCGCGCCTTAAACGCTCATATGTATGCACACACTTTATTCCATTGTCAGTCGTGCAGCTCCAGTTTCGAAAATCGCCGGTGTTACAAACATCACATCAGTCGTTGCGAAGTTTCGAAGCGACCACCTGAATCTATCTACGAGTGTCACGACTGTGGTAGCAAGTACGAGAAAAAGATGTCTCTAAGGACACACATACAACAGAAACACTTAAACGTGCTGCCTTATATCTGTCAGCAATGTGGCAAAAGGAGTTCTAACCTAGGTCACCACAGAGCACACGAGTCCATCCACATGTCAGTGAGAAAGGTTTTCCAGTGCTATTGCGGAGCTAAGATGTTTACACAGTTGGGGTTCAATCTTCACCAGAGAATCCATTCGGGTGAAAAACCGTACGAGTGCTCAGAGTGTGGTGATCGCTTCCTCTCGTCATCTAGACGCCTGGATCACATCAAGCGGCGACATATTAGCACAAAAGATATGCCGCATGGGTGTGAAAAGTGCCCCGCTAAGTTTATCAGGCCGGCGCAGCTTAAGAAACACTATCAAGTTGCCCATAGTGCCTAATTGAGTTCACAGCTCAATTATAATTTTTGTGCAGGTAACACCTTGATTTGAAGTATTTGATTCGATGTATCGCGAAATATTTAACCTAAAAAATATTAAATATGATTCAATAATTATTTTGAAATACTTGTTAGGCTTGCATCAAAATATTCTATATAAATTGTATGAGAATGTAGTATAATGATGTGATAGTTTTATACTTAAATATAATACATCTTATTTGTATATTTTTAAATCTTATTTAACTTTAAATGGAAAAACATCATAGATGGCAGTGTAACGATTTCGTTTACGCAAGACGTAAAATATCCAGGCAGCAAGTCAAATGTACTCACGTACGGGTACTGCGATCATTAACCCGCCTGTAATTCAGTCGTTCAGAAGTTCCACAATCACTAAGGGACGCATCAAATAGATTAATGTCTTTCTAATAACGACAAAAAATAAACTGAAGTAGCCAACCCGCTCGCCAGGCGTGACAACTATGGCAAATATCCCTCCTATGGGGAAGGCCTATGTTCAGCAGTGGACTTTAATAGGGTGTAACGGTAACATTGCTTTATCTGTTCGTGAAGTTACATGATATCAGGCAGACAGACAGTTAAATGTTTTGGGACGTTATCAATGTGTTAATTGCATGGAAATAACCCCCTGATCTCAATAAAGGGTAGTTATTTCGTTCGTCAATTTTATATATAGATATAAAGATAATAAAAAAGAATAAGCTATTGCTAAAATTATATGATTCCATTTCATTTTGAAAGCATTTGATCTAATTCCCAAATATTCAATTAAATATGAGAATTATAAGAAACAATAATTATGTTTTTATTTCAGGTGGTAGAAGAATCTTTATGTCCTCGTGGTCTGTGTGTCGCGTGCACGGATGTCGCCATCAACGCTTTCGAGTTCCGTGTCTTGGTGAGAAATTCGCGGAGAATGTGGTCCAACTGCTTAAACGGCTTGGACGGTGTAACGGAATTTAACGACACCCCCCACTCTTTTTACACCATTATGAGGAATGACCTATCAGTGCTAGCCGCAAATGAATTCTCAGGTGACTCTAAATCTCTCGTGAACCGATTGTCAAAGAAGAGAGCTGTTGTTGTAGAGAAAAAACCTCGGACGGCACGAACAGGACCAAACTGTGACTGTACAGACTGTGGAAAGAGTTTCCTCAGTCCATATTATCTAAACGTGCACTTGAAAAATAGCGGACAAAAAGAAGCTTGTGTAACATGTGGAACAGTGGTATTCAGGGGGTTGGAGATGAAGGAGCACCTTCAGAAAGTACATGGAGAAAAAGTCCACCTTTGCCCGGACTGTCCAACGTTATTTACCGATGAGAATCAATTGAAGACGCACGCGAAAATGGCACATAGACCAGGTGCTTTGACTTGCGGTGATTGCGGACGGACCTTCTCGAGGACCGCATCGTTTGAAGTACATTCGCAAATGCACGCCGTGCGGACTTGCAGAGCGTGCGGAGCTCAATTTACAAACCGGGGCTGCTACAGAGAGCACCGATCGAAATGCGAACCGGACGCCAAGCCGGATATAAGATTAGTGCCAAGAAGTCGCCGCTCCAATATACGCGACCCAGCAACGTTCATATGCGACCACTGTGGAAAAATATACCACTCGAGACCGCAACTCAAAAATCACATTGTCTGGATCCATATGGATGTCAGACCTCATCAGTGCCAATGGTGTGGGAAACGGTTTTACACGCCGACTCGTTTGGCAGAGCACAGCGTTGTACACACTCGCGAACGGAACTTTGGGTGTGATATTTGTGGCGCGAAGTTAGTATCAAAAATGGCGGCTGTTTATCACAGACGTAGGCATACGGGTGAAAAGCCGTACGAGTGTGACGAATGTGGAGAGAAATTCATATCATCATCACGTCGTTCAGAGCACGCGAAGCGGAGACACGGCAGGGGTGTTAGGATGCAATGTATGGAATGTCCGGCCAATTTCGTGAGGAGTCACGAGCTAAGGAAGCATATAGATAAAACACACAAGATCCATGATGCACAGTTTATGGTCGATGTAAAGGGGTAGTGTATAGTTCATACACCTAGAGAGAAAAAATGACGCTAATGCACTTATTCGTGAGGTCTATTAAGATCAAGTAATGTACGACAGAGAAGTTTAAAAATCGAAAGTCTTTGAACAAATTCCGTCTTATTACGAAACATTGTTTATTGGTAGTCCCAGGCTTAAACTATGGTTTAAGAATAGTCCCTCTAACTAAAGAAGTCCCTTATACGTAGCGCCACACTCTTCGCGAAGTTTGACATTTGCTCTCAGTCTCTCAAATATTTCAGTTAGCATATTTCGGTGGGGCTATCGTGAAACATTTTTTTTTGTAGGATAGGTGACAAACGAGCACGCAGTCCACCTGATGGTAAGTGGTTACTGTGGCCCATAGACATCTACATCTATCCTCGTTTGCGAATCAAAATGCAGGTGCGTTGTCACCCGTGAGTACTAAGATGGAATGCTTCTTTTCCCGTAAAAAGGGTCTCCGGTTCTCTACAGTCACCATACGAAACACATACACTTTACACAGCAGTGTAAAGCTGCTACTTTACGCTGGTATTCAAAAAGTTTAAATCAGATACATAATATAATATTTTTGTAGTAAACTCGATTAAAGCTAAGAAAGTATGATTTCAGTGTTTTGGGATTTCAAGATCATAATCATAAGTCTATGCCGTGCATCGCACAATTTACATAGTTATGTCTTCGTATCAAGTGGACAGTTTTAATTATTAGAAAGTTGCTAAGACTTTTATGTACATATACTACAAGACGGGCTCTGCGCCATCATATATTGCGCACTAAGTTACGGTCAATTCTCCGTAGCTCCTTTAGGCGACTGCGAGCGGGCGAGAAATCTAGTTATTTGTTTTGTTAACTACAAACTTTGTTTTCGACAATCTAACACTGATTTTGTTTAATTTGACTAAGAAAACGCTGTCATAATTTATGTGCGTACTTTGTCTACGTGATTTGAAGTTTCCAGTTATACATGTAACTTTATTTTTGGTATTTGCATAAAACAGTAACTGTCGTAAATTAAAATACAACTACGTGCCAGCTACCCGCCCGAGACTGTGAAGTGACACAGTTTTTGTTCTGAATTGCCGGGTCTATGCATAAAATAATCCAAAACCCCTTTCGCCCCGTAGGTGTAAGAGGTGACTATGGAGGCAATGCCAGAAAAACTCATGGCTTCCGACAGATGGTGGTATAACTAGTTCATTTACAACAGACTTATATTACCCATCATCTACTTTCATTTAGTGGGGGCGTGCCCTACACTTTACTTGTACGAAGCTGTCATTCAAGAACTCCATCAGCTGTCAGTTCTTCGAGCGACAAGGCCGGCACAGTGCCACTTCAGCTTACTGATCCATTGGTCCATTTCCCTTACTCTGGTTCTACAGCAGATATCCTCATTACAAAGTCTATAGAAGAGTAATTTCTCTTTGAATAAATAAAACACATTTTTGCATATATGTATATCTACTAGTGATTTCTGGATCTCGACAACAGCGCCACCTCTGAGTCCAATTGTGAATCTAAACCATTATCGAATCAATCACACACAAAATTTCATCAAAATTGGTACAGCCATTTAGGGGGGATTCAGACACATACACACGGACAGAAGAATTATATAATATGCAACCTTCCTTTTGAATCATTGTTTCTGTCTATTGATGAAAACCGCATCAGAATCCGTTGCGTAGTTTAAAAGATCTAAGCGTACTGAAGGCGGGAAGCAATTTTGTTTTATACTATGTAGAGATTATTGTAAAAGACACCAACAATAATGAATAAATAAAGTTAGAAAGAAAGAAAGAATGTCTTCTTTTTTCTTTCTTTCTAACCATAAATTATGTTCATTCTTTATTTCATATAGGAGACTAAAAGTGCTTTAGCCAATATATTTAGTGATGTGATTAGATACCTATCTAAGTTTGCCTTATAATGTTTGCTATTCATTTATGGTTGATTATTCAAATTAAATTACAGTGAAATAAATTTACATGCGGATATTTTTTTCTCCTGGCTTTATTTTTAATAAAGGATAGTGACCCATTACGCCACTTAAAAGGAAATCGTGATAGCTCAGTGGTCGAGCACTCGCTGTTACTATTACAGTATACGAGCAACCGGGTTCAAACCACGCTGACTTACAACCTGCTCTACTTTGAAGAAAAATATCGTGTAAAAACCGACATGTCTTGGAAATTAAAAAGAATATTTCCAAGATGTGAAGTCCACAGACTCGCATTGGGGCAGCGCGGCGGACTTTTCCGAGCCCTAAAACCTCAGAAATGATAGGAGGCCGCCCAGTAGCGGAACGTAGATGGCTGTAACTTTAAAAGAAAGTTGAAAACATGATTGATGAAATTGATTCGTTGCGATACAAATTTTCGACAACTTTTAACTGTGGCGGCAAACAAATATTTCCTGACATGCCTGTCGTGTGAAGCGCCATAGAAATTTATGGCACGCCCATTGTACTATCAGCCATGTGTAAACATTATGTTCCTTTTTATGCTTTTTACACATCTTTAGACCTGATTAAGTTTATTCTGTGAGGTCGTTGTACCAACCAGGCTCGAGCCGGCCCATACGTGCAACAGCAAAAAGTGCTGCGTGGCTCTACCACCGTAATATATATACGCTGTTACAGGTTATGTAAGCATTACTTGCACTACATCAAAAGCATTTTGTGCCTTGTATTTGGTCCAACAATCTCCACAGAGATAAATTGTAAGCCGTTTCCATCGTCTCTGCCATTATTTTCAGGCTGAGATATTACTCTGTACACAATAAATTACTGCTTTTAGGCATCAAACATCAGTTATAAACGGAAGGATACTTGTTTATAGTGACTAACTACATGTTTTCCTTAAAATGGAATGTAAGTGATTTTTTTATACAGAGATTACAAAACTTTTCTACCATTGTTAGTTTTATTAAAAAAAATCATTTATGTAAGTAGGTATAGCTAAATCACCCTGAAAAACTTTGTTTTTAATTAAATTAAATTTTCACCTAATAATGACGTTTGTAAATATCAAACAATCAAGAACCTTAATTTGGAAAAAATAAGGTTTATGATTTATTGATATTGTTACGGCCTACGGCTGCTCCCTTAAAGGTCAAATCCTCAGGGGCCCATTCAGCTGAGTTTCGACGAGCAGACGTAGGTCGGGCCTCCTCCAGGCCAAAGTGGAAAATCTCTAATTACACTAAACTATATGGGGGAGCGTTCTATACTACGACCATTCGACCGGGAGAATATTAGACGGAGCTTACTTACCTATATCCAAGGCGACTGGTCCCTCCGGAGTCGGTCAGGTCACATGTGGTTGTATAGTGCAAGGGAAATAAGGTGATGTGATGTGTATGTGGGTGTGACTGATGGTGATTGACCCTAGTGGACCTTGGCCGTCGACACCGCTCCAAATTGAGGGAACCTTCCGCGGCGTTGTCCACAGTCACTTTCCTCTATCGTCACGATAACAGTCCATTAACTCTATCGTACGATTAACTAACTTACAGAAGGCACTAAGTCTCGTTTGTTATAAGGTAAACGCACAAAACGAACACGGAGTGTCCGGATCAAAGGTCACTACCGTTTCGCGTAGCAACAGTTATTTCTAGAATATCAAAGGCCGCACTAGCTAATATTGCCGAATGCACTTATGCAGATTCTGAGTCAGACACTATGAGTCCCTGGGAAGCTCTCCAGCAAGGAATGCGCGTCACAAATCCTAGACCGTATATTTACTGGCCGCGCCGAATTATTCCGAGTTCCCGAACAAAAATTACAGTGTGCTAGAGTTAGCACAGCTGGCAGACGACTGACTGGCACTCGCGCGCGCTCGACACATCCAACTGTCAAACCGGTATGGCACCGAGCCGCGCGCCTCTGGCGTCGAATCCGACAACAGCGTTTGGCGCGAACAGATATGTACAAATTAATGTTATATATATGTAAAAGTAAAGTCGATCTGAAAACGTCTAATTGGTAATAATTGTAAAACAAATGTATTTTCAAAAGGAAATAAACAATAGTCAGAGTTGCCGGCGCTGTACGGCAGCGGGTGAAGAAAATACAATTTATTAGCGAACTTCTTTTATGCATGAACGCGTTCGAACTGTTTTAAGCAAAAATAAACCTTATACTATATCACAAGAGCACATGGAACAATAAGACAAACGCATATTTTTTTTAACAGGAGACTTGTTTTCCGGAAACTTGTTTACAACAAGGAGTTTGGGGGCGTTGGCAATGATTACTATTATTTGTTACTTATTAAAATATTTTTCCACAACATGAATTAAAAAGTACCCACACAGTAAAAAGAGTACCATCTACAAGTTAAAGAAGGTCAACCCCTAAAAATTTCAAATTCTCAAAATATCCAGAAACGAAGCTGTAGGCATGAACTTTTTTTTTTTTTTAATTTTTAAAAACGTCACCCCTACACTAGGATTTTCTCCTGTGTCGTGGAGGCAGTTTACAAACATAAATTGCACAAGGACAAACATCCAGACCCGGAACAAGTATTTGTAGGCCTTACAAATAATTGTTCCGTGCGGGATTCGAACCCGCAGCCCCCAGCGCAACAACTGATTGCTAAGCCACTGCGCCACGGAGCCGTCACTTACTGAACTACTTACAAAATACATTAATATTTTATTCTGGATAAATCTTCCAAAAACGCAATTTGAGCAAGTTATAACGATTTTTAAAATGATACGACTCGCTTGTCATATGCCACAAAAAAAATATGAAAAGTAAGCGGATGGTACGCCTGGCGTGCCATCCGCGTATTTTGCTAGAACGGTTAACGATCGCGTAGTGACGGTGTAAGGTATATCCACTCCCGTCGTTTCCTTATCCGTATAATCGTCCCGTGAGAGTCTTAAGAGGGGAATATACCAGAAACTAGGCAGAAGCGACTTTCTAATAGAACTTAGAAGTGGTAGCGCCATGAAGGTCATCATGCAGCTATATTATACTTAGTTGCATCACGAATAGGTCCGCTCGACCGGGGAAGGACCACGCTCTCACAGAATATCAGCCTGAAATAGCAGCTTAATGCTGCTGTTTAACATGGTACGTGTAGAGAATCGGGCTCTTTTACTGGAAACGAGGCATTCCATCTTAGTCCTCACGTATCTGCATTTTGATTCTTATTCGAGGATAGATGTAGACGTCGATGGTCCACAGCATCCACTTACTATATGAGGTGGACTGTGTACTCGTTTGTCACCCTTATTCTTATAAAAAAGGAACGAGAAAATAAAAAAAAAGCTGCAGTTGCCAAACAATAAGCGTGGCAACCATGGTAATTATCCCCCTTGGTAGGCTATCTAGGGGGTCGCATATGTAAGGCAGTAGACTTTGATGGGCTGTAATGATGATGAAGATAAATGTAAAAGTACGTCTTTCGCTATTCCATTTTTTTTTTTCTTTATTTGGTTAAATAAACAATTGCACAAAATATTTGAACAACAAGGATGATAAAAACATCACCAACAAATGCCACAGCTTAATACGTACAGAAATAAATAATTATGAATGCGTGAAAAATTTAAAGGTAGTGAAATTTTAGGAATTTGCTTTTTAAAAATACTAGGACTTGCTGCCGTGGCTAAAGTTGATATTGTAAAAGTGAACAATTTGATACAGAGGGGAACGCTTAACTTCATGTACGGCAGCGAGCGGTTACAAAATGTCGGCAAGGATTAAAGTAAGGAGTTCTGGTGGGTATTTCATAACAAAGTTTATGAATTATAATGAATATAGTCGTTTAGGTTATATTTATCAAGAAATTGTTGGCATGATAAACGATTATGAAAACATTCGTAATGCATACTACAGAGCTTCAGCTTTTTTCTGAACCTAAGATAGCTGATGTTATAAGGAGTAACTTAGGAAACTTTTTTTTTCGAAAAAGAATTAGGGTTCCGCGCAAAAAAATTAAAATCCATAATATCGTAGTAAATTCCACGCGGGCGAAGTCGCGGGGAACAGCTAGTTTAATATAAAAAGGATTCCAAATGTGTGAGGCGTATTCCAGTTGAGAGCGAATTAAAGTTTTATAAAGATGAAGGAAGGTTTATCGTCGTGTAAACTGTGGTCTAGAAGACAAATTCATACATTTTAAAAGGGTTACTTACTATATTATCTGTGTGTATATCAAGGTGTAGCTTAGTGTCCAACGTTAGGCCGTATACAGCAAGAAAGCTGGCAGCCTATCAGCGCTTATAGGGACCGGTCCACGCAGGTAAGGCTCGCCACATACATACGGAATTCCGTTTCGAGATTCCGTTTCGGAATTCCGAACGGGTCGGCCCCACACATACGGAATCCCGTTTTGCCCGCAAAATGTCGAACGGAAAACGACCGTACGTGTGTGGCGGGTCATAGATTTTATATGGACTTGCTGCGTTCGGGATTCCGAATCGGAATATCGAAACGGAATTCCGTATGTATGTGGCCGGCCTAAACGGCGCAGGAATTTATATGAAAAGGCGCCGATAAGGCCGGCCACATACATACGGAATTCCGTTTCGAGATTCCGTTTCGATATTCCGATTCGGAATCCCGAACGCAGCAAGTCCATATAAAATCTATGACCCGCCACACACGTACGTTATTTTTCCGTACGGAATTTCTCCGATTCGAGATTCCGTATGACCGCCTGTGCGTTCGGGATCCCGAACGGAAAAAAGCCGCTCCGAACGCACGTCTTCCATATATTTTGTACGAGTCGCAACACACATACGTAAATTCCGTACGGAATGCGCTCAGTGTTCGTCGCACAACCGAAGCGAGTAGGTGTATTTACGTATGTTTGACATTTAATCTTGTAGGTGTATAGCTTTTCGTAACCTTTCATCTTATTTTATTTAATAATTCGTCGATAGAATTTACATACATAAATATTTAAAAAATATCTCTGGATAGATAGATCTTTTTACATAGTATTGACTATATTGCAAGCTTAGGGTGATAAGGGGATGCACCTAGTAAGAATGATACAGCAACAATGGAATTTGCAATTAGAAAATCGTCGTCATTTTTCGCTGGCAGAATGTCTACACTCAATGGCTAACTTCTCTCAACTGACCCTTGTTATTCCGAACGGAAAAAAAACGTGTGTGTGTGATGTATTCACGGAATCCCGAATCGGGATTCCGAAACGGAATCTCGAAACGGAATTCCGTATGTATATGGCCGGCCTAAGCGGCGAACGTCGCCTACAAGTTCCGACAATCTTCGACACGCGTCGGTCAGCGCTGGCGCCGCCCGCCATTTAAAATTAATGAACAACTATACGACAACACGTTCAACTACGACACGCATATATTTTTGTTAAATAGAGAAATGAATAGTGACGTGTTGACTGTACGGAAGACGGCATATCAAGGGTACACTTCGACACTTTTTAAAATCGCTCTTATTACAAAATAATAAGGTCGGTACAAGTCTCAATGTGTTACGCTTGATCTGCTGTTGACCTGTTGACTGTACAAGTGTATATTTAAACATTTTAAATTATTATTTATTACAGAGCTTTATAGTTCTAAGGCGCATATTTTGTAAAAATTGTCTAATGGACAAATAAACATCTTTTCTTAAACATTTTTTTTATTATAATTTTTTATAACTCTAATAACTTTATCTTTTAATATCTAAGCGATAAATATATTTTTTCGTACTTAGTCTTTCTTCTGGAAGGATTGGTTGTTTATGCCAATTACACCAATTTTCATCAAATGTTTTTCCACTAAGTCCAAAATGTAATAAAATGTTTCTTGAGTCATTCTTGTATATCTATAGAATAATGGATAGTCAAATTCCAACTGTTTTACAAATAAATGATAGTATTCTCCGAAACATTTCCTTTCTCTATTAATAGGATGTATAGCTTATTTTCGCAT